ACACACACACACACACACACACACACACACACACACACACACACACAGGTTTATAGCCACTCAACAGCCTATCAGTCTAATCAGTTTCACCAAAATACTTGCTTGGCACAGTAGGTGCCGTGAGAAGTGTTAGTTCTCTTTCCCTGTCACTGTGGATTAAATAGATGTGCTGTTTACTTAAATATGTGATTGGTTTTCTACATCTTTTTTTTTTCCAGACCTATTCCATGGCAGTATATCTTGTAAAACAGTTGTCCTCAACAGTTCTTCTTCAGAGGTTACGAGCAAAGGGAATAAGGAATCCGGATCATTCTAGAGCTTTAAGTACGTATGATAAACTTACTTCATATATGCAGCTAAGCTATCTTGTTAAGGGTAGAGTAGTAGTTTTTTCCCCCCCTCAACTCAGGTTTTAATGGGAGTTTTTTGTTTGTTTGTTTGTTTGTTTTGTTTTGTTTTTTACCAGAGCCTATTGTAGAGAATTAAAAACTCCAAGAACTTAGTATTGTGAGCTTGTAATTAAAACCTAAGAGTAGTTTTAATGTCTTTGCCATGAACTATATTTGGTGATCTGTTACAGATCTTAATATTTATTTTGTAAAGTTACTTCTTAGACACAGTATTTATTACAACTTCAAACAACCAATATTTAAGGAACTTTAGAAGATGGAAAGGAAATCTTAGTGTGAATTCCAAGAACTTCATTTTGATTTTTAAGAATGTCTTAAATCCAGGAGAAATACACAGAATTAAATGATGGCTGTCCCATTGCTTTCCTAAAGTAGAAGAAGTCGTTGGGTTAGCAGAAATAAATGTGTTATGTTGAACACACTTCTTCATCCCTTGGTGTCTTATCCTTGTCTGTAATGATAGGTTTGTAACTCACACAGCTCCCCCTTGGGTGTTTCATCTTTATTAAAATTGAAATGTAAGTAAGGTCTGCAAATGAACTTCCTGGCTTCAAGTTTTTCACATCAATGTCTGTTCTAAAGCGGTGGTCTAAGTTTTTCTTTGATTCTCTTCAGTGGGGTGTGGCTCTTTGTAGGAGAGCTTAGAGGTGTGGGTTCTGGTACTTAGGAAGCAGCCTATTATACTCAGGGACTAGCCTTGATTCTAGCTTAGGCTGGTTTCAAACTTGCTGTGATCCTCCTGCATCAGCTCTGGGATTACAGATTGAACCACCACACCTTGCACTTGAAGCTCTTAAAATGGATTAATAATAGCAGCCCATTCTCAGATTTGTCATTAATGTTCGGTGGGAAGAACTATGATGCTAAAAGCCAGCTTCCTCAAAGCTCCTCTGCAGCACAGCTCCTATCCGTTTTCCACCCTGTTCTGTAGCAGAACAGCTGTAGACTAGCAGGCCCCACTACCTCTGATAAGCAGAACACCAGCGGTAGTTCCCTGGAGTGTTTTTTCCCTGCACTAAAAGGATCCTTTTGAAAACGCATGGTGGTCCAGATCCAAATCTGCAGCTACTCAGTGGGCTGAGGCAGGAGAGCTAAAATGAAAGCACCATTGTGGATCTCAGAGAATGGAAGCAGCATGAGAAAGGAAGTAAGTGAGGAGCCTGAAAAGAGAAGAAGGAATAGACATCTACTGGAAGGAATATGCAAGAGAGGCATTCTTCGCTTTTCACAGCCCAACTGAAGTTATCCCTGACTGACAGTCTTTATTCTTGCCTTGCGTTATTAGATCTCAACTAGTCAGAAAACATGATATTATGTGGTAAGCTGTGGTGGAAAAGAGAAATACCAGGTAAAGCTTCTGGATTTAACAACAATGTAGGCTGTTTGTATAGGCTCTTGATTCTCTGCACCTCTAGCTAGAGCACCCCTGAAAGTCATGTCAGGAGTGCCTGGAGTTGGAGTTTCTAGGAACCCATCCAGCTACTGTTAAGCAGCAAGACTGCCTAAATGCAAAACTAGTTACTTTGCATTCTTGCATCCTGCTAGTCTGAGTGAAAGTGTTACGGCAGTTCCATTTTATCTTTTTTTTTTTTTTAAAGATTGTTTGTTTGTTTATTATGTATACAATGTTCTACCTGCATGCCAGAAGAGGACACCACATCTCATTATAGATGGGAGCCACCACGTGGTTGCTGGGAATTGAACTCAGGACCCCTGAAAGAGCAGCCAGTCCTCTTAACATCTGAGCCATCTCTCCAGCCCCCATTTTCTCTTTCTTGTTAGCCAGGTGAATGAATGAAGCATTAATTGGATTCTACCGGTATTAAATATATTGCAGGTATGATGGTACACGCCTTTGACGCAAGCACTCAGGAGGCAGGGGCAGGCAGATCTCTTTAAGTTCAAGGCCAGCCTGATCTACGCAGAGAAACCCTGCCTCGAAAAAAAAGCGTCCATACATACATACATGCACAGCCACTGACTAAAGGTGTTTACCTCTGTTACCTGCAAAGAAATAGCTTTTCCTAAAAATTACGTCATTAAAATACTGTTTTAAGTTAGGCAAAAATGTCGGTTCTCAGAAATTTTTTAAGCAAGAACTTGTACAATTATGTTGATTGTAAATTGTTCCTAACCTTGTAAGGAAGGTCTGCTGCCAGTTTTGTTAGTCCATGCACAGTAATACTCAGATAAGTTTGATGGTATTTAGAATTCAGACTTTTCATTGAGAAATGCATTTTGTGGGCTGGAGAGATGTTTTAACTGGTAAAAAGGCTAGGCTTACAACCAAAATGGCAAGAGAAAATTGAGTTCTGTTTCATTCAAGAAATTAAATGAAGCATCTGCTGTGTTCTAGGAATAGAAGCACAGCATTACACAATACCACACCTTCCCTGTATCTCCCAAAAGTTTACAGTTTGGTGGGAAAGACAGGCCTAAGTCATGAATGAGTTATAGTTGTGATTTGTGCCTTGAAGAAGGAAGATGGAACTCTGAAGAGACACCACTGGGGGTCCTCGTCCTCACTTCTGGGATGCAGAGGACAGTGTTGGGGGGTGGGAGAAGAGGAAATGTTGTTAAGCCCCAGGAGAGGAAGGAAATATGCCTAGGGAAAAGGTCAGAGAAACTAGAGTATAGAAAAAGATGAGAAGAATCTGGGGGGGGGGGGGGGGTGTACAAATTCATAGGTGCTGTAGAGATAAAAGGATGATGATATGATGATGATTATTATTATTTATTTTATTTGTTTGGTTTGATTTGGTTGTTTTGGGTTTTCAAGATAGGGTTTCTCTGTGTAGGTAGCTTTGGGTATTTTGGAACTCCATCTGTAGACCTGGCTGGCCTTGACTTCAGAAAGCTCTGCCTGCCTCTGCCTTCTGAGTGCTGGGATTAAAAGTGTGCTATAAAAAGGATTCTAACACACAGGAATGAGTGATCTGATCATCAGCTGGAGGATAAGCAAGGTGGGGCAAGTCTGATGCCTGGAGCCAAATAGGAACCTTTTGCTTAAAAAAAAAAAAAAGTTTATTTTTATTGTGTGTGTGAGAGAGAAGAGTATGAGTGTGTATGTGTGTTAGTGTGTTGGGGGTGGAAGTCAGAGGACAACTTTGGAGTCTGTTCTCTCCTTCTGCCTTTGCATATGTGCAAGGGCTGACCTCAGGTCAGATTTGTGCAGCAGGTACCTTAACCCAGTGACTATCTCCCTGGACTGTGATCTTAAGCACTGCATGCCATGTCAGTGCTTCATAGTCTCTGAAGTGGAAATGGTTATTTAGAAGTGAGTCTGTGAAGGAGCTGCCTGCCCTCTCAGACTGTGGTGTTGAGCTGTGAGTGCACAGGAAGCTGCACTGCTCAGAAACAGCATTCCCTGAGCTGTCTTTCACTTACGTTTATAGTCCCACTTGTCTCCTCAGGTATTATCTGACAACTTTCCTATTAAGACTTTCTCAGACCTTAAAACCCTGCTTCTTGATGGCTGTGGCAGCACACGCCTTTAATCCCAGCACTTAGGTAGATAGGTGGAACTCTATGAGTTCCAGGCCAGCCAGGTCTAGACAGTGAGACATTGTCTCAAACAAACACAAAACAACCTCTGTTTCTTGTTTGTCCTATTGCTCTCAGAAAAAGCAGTGTGCATTGCTCTGTGTTCCTCCTCTGCCACTCACATAGTGTTTGAGCCCCATGGTTCCCCTGAATGTGCTTAGGCAATGACCACAGTGGTCTTCTCGCTGCTCTGTCTAAAGCATTTCTACCTTGGATGCTCTGCTGCGTTTGATTCCAGTATATCTCTCCTTGAAATTGTCTCCTCTCTCTCCTGTCCTCAACCACCTTCCTTCAGAAGCCTCCGAATGCTGGGCATAGTGGTCTTTAATCCCAGCAGGGGGAAGCCGAGGTAGACTGTGAGTTAGGAAGCCTGCTGGGGAGGGCTATGCAGTGAGACCCTGGAGTGGGAGGGAGTACTGGAATTCCATGCTTCTCCTACCTTTCACAACCACTGTTACTGCATAAACTAGTACTAACCCCCAAATCTTCATGCAGGTCTCGCCTCCAGCTTCAGATTGCATAAGCTGACCGCTAAGCATTCTCTACTTCATCAGAATCAAGAATTTAAAACTTCTCTAGTTTTGCCAACTGACAGCCTAAACATTTCTCAAATCTGTCTTGTCTTTTGTCATTGCCCTCATTTAAATCCTTAAATCTTATCTTTATATTTAGAACCTTGGCCCTAAATGATGTATTAAATAAACGATTTCTTTCTTGGCTTTTCTTGTCTTTTGCCTGGTAGCAGCCTAACTTTTTGATGCACATCTGATATTTTCATCCTTGAACTCCTTCATCCCTGAACTCCTGACACTAATGGAATAAAGTCTCCAGCTTCATTAGTGTGACACAGATTTGGCCCTTTCCTTTGCAAAAAATACATTGTATTTTCTCTAACCCTTCTTGTTCAGTACTGGAGTGTTCTCTATCCCTTAAGCCTTCTAGCTGCTTTTACTGCCTCACTCCAGGGATGCATTGGTTCCCAGAACCTCCAGGGTCTCTTGACTCCCATCATCTTGTGTGCACCTCACTGAGCGTCTTCTCCTTCAATTGGCTTTTTTCTCTTGGAGGTCTCACTACCTCTTGCAGTACCTTGACACATAGTGAACTCTCACATTTTGTGGTTATTGTTCTTGTTTGTGACATCAGGTTTGTAATATTCCTGCGACAGCTTCCCACATGCTAAGAATATAGACATGTCCTTCTATACTCGGTGATTGGTATTAAATGATGTAAAGAACTATAGAGTGAAAATCAGGCTTCAAAGCCTTTTGTTTTCTGGCTTATAATGGAATGTTTAGTTGTTTTTGGCCTTACAGTTTTAAAAGACTGAATTAAAATAATCTGATATTAATGAGGGTGATAACTCAAAAC